AAACACAAGGCAAAAAGATTAGTTGCACAAGGATTCTAGCCATAATATATGCTATAATGAGTTCTTCCAAACTTACTTTGACCTTGAGCTGAGATATCTCATTCATAACAACCTGTATAGAGAACTAATTCCTTAATATTGGTGAATTAATTTTGTCCTGTGAGGTACACTTTCACAGAAGGAAAAATGTTCTTTAAGATATGGTTTCAGCTTGTCTGTCTCTCACATACGTGCCCACTCTTGCTCTTTCTCTGAAATGTAACACAGCATAACTTAAGAGGTCTTTATGGAATGATATTGTTCATCATCTGTATAGTATTGTTCTTATTTGTGTCTTATTTTTGCACTTAATCCAATTTTACATAACTACAACTCTGGGGCACGTATTTTGATACATTTTGCTGTGTCCCCATTTATATAGTATTATAAATACTTCCTCATGCATTCACAGTCTCCATGATTACTATTCTTAAACTACATAAAATAACGTCTGTAAGGCACTCAGGAACTTCAGTGTATATCTGTCTGCGCTCTATTATATATAGTGCTCTAGAAATTCTTTTATGCTCAAACTGCTACTGTTCTACAATTTCCTTAGCATAAATTCACTGGAATGGAATGTTTGGTTCAATGTGTTAATACCTTCTCCAACTCATATTTACCACAGCGTCTTGATACACAAGGGAAGTGTTAAGTCCACAGACATACCAAGAAAAGGCACATCTTGCATTTGCTGTTCCCACTGTTTAATGAAAATGACTGCAGTGACCATGTGATATACCATCTGCAACTCAGGGGACACACTTCCTTCTGAATTTGAAATGGTGTTTTTTTCCAGAAGTGCCATGCTATTGTGACCTTCATTTTTAAGACGCAGTCTGGAATGGTTGGTATTTTATCTTGTTGATTTGAATAGCCATTCTTATTGAAAGTGATGTTCTTTCAGAATTCAAATCATTCTCATAATCTTTGTGCATTTATAACTTCTGTTGGAAAACTCATGCACCAAGAATGCTATAGCAGTAGCAATCAGCTGGCAGGTGATGGAGACTGCTGTGAACTGTAGGAAGCAGAATGTTTCCTGCCTGTGAAGACAAATGAAAGTTGATATCATCATCTTTTCAGCTCTGTCCATTATTGGAGATACGCCTGTTTTGGATGTGTTTATCAGTTACTGCCATTTGATGGCTTTGATTTGCTCTAGAGAAATCAAGCAGCAGGACTAGAAGGCTAGATACTGAAGGGTAAGAATGCAAGGACTGTATACGAAGAGTGAAGAATAAGACAGAGGAAAAGAGATTGGCAACAAGTCACGATTTTCCAGGTGTCCTCTGTGCTCTCTCAGCAACTGCAGTCTCGTGTTCATATCTGTTTCACAGAATAACTAGTGCTACTCAAATGACCATTCATTTACCTGGCCCCTTCACTTACAAAACAGACCTCGAGGGTCCAGGGTTTATTTTTATTTAGGGTACATTTTAGTTAAAAATGTTGACTGTATGGATGTGAAGTTAGTTGTTATCAGTGACAGTATCTAGCTTTTAGATTTCATAGTTCAATTTGTATTTGCCAAATGAGTTTGGTAATTACCTCGACTACAGTTTTCTTTTTCAAGATTAAAAATGAAAGAGAATACATTTCAAAAACTTACATTTCTGGTAAGTCTTTTCTTGATCCAAGTCCCCAATAACCCAAATCCCTGTGTCTTACAATTCTTCTTTTTTATTTTTTAATGTGCACGAGTATTTTCCCTGCATGTGTGTAAGTGTGCCCATATCGTGCAATGCCTGAGGGGGCCAGAAGAAGGCATTTAATTCCCTGGAACTGGAGTTATGAATGGTTGTTACCTGCCATGTGGGTACTGGGAATTGAACCCAGGTCCTCTGTAAGAGCAGTTAGTGCTCTTAACCACTGAGCTATCTTTACAGTTCTATGTATCTTACGAATTTTGGTATCTTATGTAGTTTAAGAATAATAATCAAGGAGATTGTGAACATGAGGAAATATTTGTAACACATAAAGGGGAAAAACAGTAAACATGAACTGAAAAACAAAAAAAAAAATGGTCTAAAATTAGTGGAAAATGAGTAAGAGCAGGCAGGTTCCTTAGGAGGCATAAATAACTATTGGATAAAAGGAAGCTCTGTTGTGAGCACCCATTCTTTGTGGTGTTTAGTGTGTCAGAACACTGAATTAGTTTTACATAGGTAATATTCCAATAGAAAATATGCAGTCTTCCTGACAAGATGTATACTTCAGTTCAGTCGAAACAGCTGGAAAGTAAATGGGTGAGGAACGGTTAGAGACAGTAGAGTCCAAAAGAGGGACCAGAAAATATTAGCTGACGACTGGACCAAGTTTACATCAAGTAGACTCAGAGCTACAGGGATGAAGAGAAAAGAACTGACAGAATTGTGATTGACTCATTCATAAACGGTTACACTTTTAATTCAACTAAGTTAAATCTGAGTTAAAACAATATATTTGGAGGAGTATAAGAATCTAGAGGTCAGGGCATAGCTCTAAATTATTTGATATGTAACAAATCAGGGAAATGCAAACTATTTTTAAGAGAAAAGACAACCCCTGGGTCAAATCCAAATTCAGGGTCACTCCCCTGCATTATAATAAGTAATAAATGGAATGTATGTAGATATTGTGACTTATGTTGAAGAAAGTAAGAGACTATATGGTCAGAATGAACAAAAAGTTAAGAAATTCTAGAAAAAAAAAGAAAGAAAATAGAAAAGAAAATTCTAGAAATTATAAATAATTGAAATAAATGCTAAATTGGATTGGATATTGAAGATTTAAAATATCAATGAGGTTGCAGACAATTATAAATTTTTTAATTTGAAATAAAAAAGGAGAAAAGACTAAAAATTAAATATCAGACCCCTGGGAAGTTATAGGGTGCTGACAAATGGCCTAACATATATATAATTGAAGTTAAATAAAAACATGGAGAATGGGGTAGGATTTTTTTTAATGCTAAACATTCTTCAATTTCATGATAAATGTAAATGTACCAATGATAATGCTTAGTAAAATAAAAGCCTGATTAATATAAAGAAAATATGTATGGAATATTGTAGCTGAAAAGACTGAAAACCAAGATACGCGGATTATTTAAAAAGTTATCAGAAACAGACAGTACTTTACAATAAAGTAAAATCAATTTGAGTGACAGCCTACTTCTCATAAGAAACTATAGCAGTCAAAAGAAAGTGAGATGCATCATTGAAGTATTCAAAGGAAAACAAAAACAAAAACAGTCTTTCAACCCCAAATTCTGCATCTAGTAATAACATATATCAAAGTTACTTAAAGTGATTTTTAGATAAAGAAAAAGCGAATTTGTCATCAGATTCAGACTATAACATAGTTAAAAATATATTGCAGAATACAATAAGTGGTACTGAAAGGAAATCTACATCTTCAGGAATAAATCAAAGTATCATAATTGTAAATGTCCTTGGAAATAGGACAGGATGCTTTGTCTCTTTAAAAGCCACATGATTATTGACTACAAAATGACAACCTTGTCTCATGGAGTTATTATTCTTTGTGGAGTTTCAATAGACATAAATTCAAGAAAATGCTGGTAGAGAGACAAACAGAGATACATGGTTGGCTATTTTAAATTTTATGTGAATTCTAACACTGTTAATGAAAGATGTCTTAAAAATATGGGGCTTTTGCTAATAACACTGAGATGTTAGCTCATGTGTCTCTCATCTGTATGTATCTGATTATTAATAGTCATAATCGGTTGCACTTGGATCCTTGGCACCTCTGTATGAAACTTTCTGTAAGAAGCAATGTCTTACAGGGCTTATACCAAATTCAATATTGTATAATTGTATTAACTCAACTGTGAACCTAGAAACTTGCACCCACTTGTGAAAGAGATGTACTCTTGCTCTGGAGTATGTTA